CAACATATAAAGTACAAAAGGATAGATTTCGCTCATTGTAACAAACCAAGTATGGCAATTGGCAATTAAGCTTCGTTCAACCAATTTGGAACGATTTATAAGACGATTAAATATCCGCTTATGCGTTAATAGCGCGAAATATATCGCGCGTTAATTGTCCCAAATTGGCCAAAATGGCAGTCTTTAAACCCCCATAACTTTACGACAAATGATCACAGGTAGAACATCTTTTCAAATTTGAGCTCAAGACAACAATACCTTTCGAATGATATAAAGAATTTCCGTCAAAAATGGCTAGTTAAAAAGTCGAAATTTATCTGAAGAAAAAAAAACCCACCCCGAGCACAAATATTCCGTTACTTTCGTTTCGAAAGTCGAAACAATAACATAAGTGACAAACAAAGACACAAAAGGCTATCATCAAAGGGCAATTCTTTAATTGTTGCCGGTGAACAGTAGCATCCAGGGCTTCGCTCTCTATATATTCATAGTTTTTCACCTACCCTGAAACGATTCCAAATAATGAAGAAATACTGAAACAACTAAATACGGCATAACGCAACTATAACGACACACATTGGATAGCTCGCGTAGCATTAGATCAAATCCTGCCGGTTCTCGCTCTGTTCTTGACGCATCGTTTTTTTCCGGGAAAAAATTGCAACAAACTAACTTTTACCTTTATTGGTTCAAAGAAAAATTAAGAAGCGACGTGGAAGTCATTTATTTTTTATTGATCAAGTCATGGCCGCCATAAGTAGATACCCGTGATTCAAAAGCTGTTAGTTTTGAACGTCATTGACTGAACGTCACAGACAGATTTATTGATTTTTGCTTTGTTAACCAATCAATTAGATTGACTTGAAATTTCCACCATTTAATGGCATGACGACATGAAGTTTAAATTTCATCATTCAAAAAATATAACAACATTTTTTTTTCTTAAAACTTTCCCTGCATTTATTGTTAGCTACAAATTGATGTTTTCAGTTTTATTTAAAGGAAAACCCGAAGAAAAGCTATCACATCAATGAGTCGGGATATTTTGATGAAAGCCTTGGTCACCATCGGTGTTGAGACGTTGAACAGTCATTCACTCACTTCCAAAGTGGACAAAAAGTCAATTGGAAGGTAAATTAAACTCACCAGAAACACCCCACCGTGCAGGCTGATGAGAGCTTCTTGTCTGGTCCTCTAGTAAAATTTTCTACCCGCTCAGCAAAAAATGTAAGAAAATAGGTCCTAGCGACAAGTTGCGGTCTTATTGATCAGTCCTAAATGCACGACCTCACATTTTTTGGAGCGTAAATTTTAGATTCACATAAAAAATCCTAAACAATTTTGCCGAATCAACCCAATTTAAGTGTTCCTTTGCTCCTTTAGAGCAGTTATTCAATCATCAGAAAACGCTTTGATGGACAAAAAGTTATGTAGCACAATTATTGTTTGTTCGTTGAAAAAATATGATTTTTAAATTCTAAACTGATGCGCTAGAGTGTGTTACATGTAATTTAACTTGAATAAGTGATGAACAAAGCCGTTACTATCTATGGGCGGAGTGGTAATATGTGTCAAGAAAAGTAGCCTTCAGTGCTTTAATCCTCATTTATCCAAAATTATTCACCTGTTTTGAAATGAATTAAACATTGAAAAAAAAAACTGAACCAAGCATTCCAATTGGAAAATTAAAAATATTAGAAAGTGATGCAAAATTAATTTTAAACGTTCATTGAAAAGTTGTTGATTGCTCATCGAGTTTTTGATAAACGCTTTTTTTGAAGAAAATTTATGTCAATCAGTTTTGTATCGAAATAGAAATTTTGATTTTTTAAAAAACCAGTTAGATTGATTTAAATGTTCGACAAATGCACTACTATGTCACAACATGACGTACACGAGGTTAAATATTTTACTGAAAAAACTGAAAAATAAGACTTTTTTCAATAAATGTTCCCGCATCTACTGGTAACAACAAAACATTTATTTCAGCAAACGAATGCACAAAAATTGGATCATTTAAACTGCTGCAGATCAATTCGGAATAGCTTTTCTCCCGTCTTGTTTTTTGTTTCTTTTCTTGATGATTCCATCCGGACTACATTAGTAATCTGTTGATCATTCTGGATTGACGTCACTTTGTTGTTTAGTTTGTTCATCAAGAAATTTGCCAATTTTGTGACTCGCTAAAAAATAGTTCAAAGCAGCAGGTAATTTTATCCTGTGATCATTGTGTAGACAAAAAAATTTTAACGCCATTTTTTCCGGAAGCAAACGCAAAGATGAAAAATGTCACCCCAATGATACGAGATTTTCCTAACGCCATCTGTCACCGTCGATCGCCATCTGTTGAACGTGGCTCTAAATACGTTGGACGTTTCTTCACTATGGTCTCTAGAAGTTTTAAAACATCTTGCAGCTTTTAATCTACTTGAATGATTGCAAAGATCAATGCAGTTCAAACTATTTCCTATTTGAACAAAAGCTCAAGTGTCATCCGCGAATAACACTCAGTTTTCCTGCATGGTAGGTTTTCTCTTATTCGACCAGGAACCAGGATTTAATAGGAAGAGCGTAAAAGGAGGTACTAATTAGTGTTGAGGCTTTGATCAATAATGCACACAATTTCTAAGCAGACAAAAAAAAATCAATTATAAGTTCAAATTACCGGCAACACCATATCCTCGGTAGTTTCCATGAGTTTGCCACGCCGTCTTAAGCGATGAATACAAAAAGATTGTAGTGACAATTTTTTGGTCTTGTTGAACGGTACTCACAGCACGACCTCAACATAAATCAGAGAGAGTGCATTATGGTTACTACAAACACTCGAAACTTTTTTCTGCTGGGCCTTAAAGCAATCATTCAATCATCGAAAACACTCTAATTGGACACTGATTCAGTTAACACGATTTGGATTTGTTCATTGAAAGAATATGTACCAGCCTAAATGGATGAGCTAAAGAGCGTTATATGTAATTTAACTCAGATAAGTGGCAAAAAAGTTCTAGAGGTGAATATCCAATAAAACTTGGTAAATTTAATCAATTTATGTCAGAGAGCAATAGCCATCAAGGCTTTGTTCTTTAAAAATCCACAGTTACACACCTCCCGGGTCGAGGTCCCAGACCCATGTCCAGACTGGCGCGACCCTCAAAGTTTGGACATGAGTCTGGGACCTCGACCCGGGCTGTCTTCAAACGATTCCAAATATTGAAGAACTACTGAATCAACGGAGTACCATGCACCGTATCTGCAAGAACGACACGCACCTGAGAGCTCACTTGGCAACAGATCAGTTCTTCACGGTTCTCGCTCTCTTGTCAGTAGATGTTGAAAAAGAAAGCACAATCTGAATTCTCGTTGTTTCGACGGATCAAAGTTTTACAGAGCGATGTGAAAGTCAGTTATTTTTGAACGAACAACTAATGGTTGTTCGATCGAAATAGTAGTTTCTAATGTTTTAAAGACTGGCAATTGTTTGGTTATCATTATTGAATAAGATATTTTTATTGTTTTTTTTTCTGAATGGAGAATTTTGTGTAAAAACAGAAGTTCCTTTTTGCCAATAAATCAGATGGGTTTCCTAAAACATTTAGGAATTTACAAAATTTACGCAAAAAAAATTGACGGTCAAATTATTAATTTAAAAATTATTTCCAAAAAAATTGAAAAAAATCTGCACTCGATTCTTGTTTCAATCAATTGAAGCAAAATAATTGATCGTGGTTTTTTTTTCAATTTACAACTCAAACTTCATCACTTGTTTTTTTCAACACTTCGACACAAATTGGCTGTCTCCAAAAATTATATATTATCTAGATTTTATCCACCAAAAATGGGAATCAATTTTCCTGGTATAATAGCTGTAATAAAAACCATAATAATAATTGAAACAATCATATTAATAAACATAATAATTGTAATGATAATTGTTGTTACTGCGATTGGCAGAGGATCTATGAAAGACTATCCAGCCTGTCTAAGCATAATCCGTTTCCGTTTTTATTTCCCAACATTCCCTTAGTTGACGAAAATGGCCAATTATGTAAGATCCTGTAAAATTCTTGCAAGATTCCGGCAGAAAACTGCATTCTCCTGCAAGAATCTTACAAGAGACCCCAGTCAAAACTAATCACTCTTGCATGAATCTGGATCCAGATTGACTTGATTCGTTTATCGAAAACCCTTTTTTTCGCAATTCAAAGTCGTTATGCTTTTGCGTCAAGAGCGTTCACGTGGTAGAAATATTGCAACCGAAATGAGGTCAAGTGAGAGCACGTCCTCGCTCATTATCATGGCAGGGGATCAATCATACAATCTGACGATCATAAAATGAGCGCCTTACCATGTCTGCTAAGTTCTTCATGAGGTTGGAAGAGTTAAATGACTAAGAGAATTAAAACGCTAGCAAACATTACTAAAACGCTCAAACTGAACGCTAGCGGACATGACATACATCACAACTTTAGTTGTCCAATGAAGCCAACTATTTAAAATTGACGACAAACCAAAAACTTCGCAGAAGTTGCAAATAGCTCAACTTAGTACCAGAAAGGGTGCACACTCCGTTCTATGCAGTTTCTGTTGGTTCTTCGCGCTAACTGAAATTTGATCTCTTGATCCAGGCGCGGAAATTGGCAATTTTCGGAACAAACACTGCTCCTTCGGAAGAGTTACACTCAGAGCTGGAAAAAGGAGGCTACCCAGCGCTTTCATTTTATTAGTGATTTAATTCTCAACACTAAGTGCCTCAGTCTTGATTTAATTGGTTCGAGAGTTCGGAAAATTAATACTATCGACTTAAGATTGGTCTTAGGAGCTGCGTCCGACATTTTTAAAATCCCCTTTCGCGTTAAGATCTTGGATCCGCGTCTATTTCTGAAAATGTACCACAAAGCTAACTCCATAAAGTTCGATTTTTTAAAACAGAAACCACGTTTATCTAGTTCAATTCTATTAAAAATAGCTTCGAGTCGATGCTCATCTGAAAAAAAAAATAATTACAATTGGAGATTGAATTTATCACAAATATAGACTTTGATTCAAATTGGTTTATTAGGATATGATTTGGATGAGTGATACGAAATAGAAACAAAGTAACAACCATTTTTCCGCTCGTCAAAACAAACTCTCTTTGCTAACCATAAAATAAGTTCATTTAGTGGTTATTTAGTTAAAAAGCTCTCATTTATTTATCTTAAAGAAAAAAATTTAATCTGATTAGATCTTTTCAAGAATACTTTAGGGCTTGGTGCCACTTGATTGACAACTAATATTTGACTTTGACATCCAGATTTGTGTTTTAACAAGCGGTCGGTCGTTTTCCTAGTTTATACTGAGTCCTAGAGTGAGAGGGGCTATCTATATTCTATTCTAGCCAGAGAATGTTCTGCTAAAGGTCTTCTGAAGGTCCTTTTCATTAACTAAATCATCGCCCCCTAGAACTGTCTGTTTTGTACTTGGAAGGTAGAGGGGGGGGGGGGGGGGTCAGTCGTCTATTCTGTGGCTGTACCGGCCATTGGCGGTAGCCGGTTCCCAGAAGTGGGTCTGTGAGCCATTTGTTCCTCCATTTCATTCATCTGACCTCGCAACCTGCCGATCTCTTCTCGCTAAAATAAAACAAACAAACATAACAACAAAGATAGCCGGTTGCTCTGCAAGTAGCACGGAGTTTTCCTACGTATCTTCAAATTAGCGCCGTTTCATTTTTTTCTACTTTTTTTCTAATTTTATTGCACAATATTTTAGTTTTTATGGAAAACTTTTTTTTAATGATTATGCGCTAAATCATTTACAAAAAAACAGTAAGATTTTTTAGCCTAAAAGTCTTTAAAAAAGTAAATTTCCATATTACGAGCGATACTCGATTGCGTTACTCGCTCGAAATTAGTTTAAATCTCAAAATTTCAAATCAGTTTTTCTCGACAATGGGACAGTTTTTTAAAAGTTTTTAGTGTCGTTCCAATCAAGACTGAAAGAGCTGTAATATGATTTATTAATTGACCCACACCGTTGATAAAATGCAGTACCTGATTTTGCAAAACAAAAAACTAAAACATACCAGAACTCTCAATGGTCAGAACAAAAATATCTACTTCTAGCCAGAGAAGATTCTGCAAAAGTTCTTCTAAAGGTCCTTTTCAATAACTAAATCCCCGCCCCTAGATCTGTCTGTTTTGTACTTTGAACTTATTCACAAAAAATGGACACTACTAAAGCATAAAAACCTCAAAATAATTTTTGCATTTGAGCATTCATATCATTTAAAAACAGAAAAAAAACATATACATATTTTATCCAATCGTTTGAAAGTGTTTATAAAAGCTAATATGTTGGAACTCGCTCTATTGATCCCCATATGGTACCAAGTCAAAAAGTCTTAGAACAGCGCTTTAAACTGAAGTTGCATACAAAACTGGCTGATTTTACACACCATAAACAACAGAAAAAACAATGCAGAAACTTATCGAAAAAACTTTATCAACAAATCCTCGATCAAAGTCAGAAGAACAACAAGCTGATGACAATAAAGTTACATCAGGTCAAAACAAGGACGCATTGAAGACAATACATAATGAAATAACAAAATCCGTTAAAAACATATTTTAAAACTGAAGGGCTCTCGCATATCGAAAATGGCTTCGCAAGAAAACAGCTTTTCCAGAAAGTGACGGCGTACTATTGCTCAACTCTGCTGTGCATCGAGCACACAATTAAATAGCTATTTGTTGAGACTATAGAAAGACATCAAAACCAAACTCCCAAACTAAAACGCTAGTGCACATATCGCCGCTCTAGTTGTCCTACGAAGCTTATCATTTTAAATTTTTTTCGAACTTTTTTCAACTTTCTTATTTCAAAGATAAATTTCATAACTCAAAATTTCTTATAAAAATTACAATTTTTGAACAATTTTTACTTCGTTAATTGACACTTAAAACGAACTGAATGACTATTCTTATTTGCAGCAACAAACAAAAATAATAATATGTTGTATGTGTACAAATGTGTACCTATAATGTATAATGACTAACGCAATGGTTGAGCACAAACATATGTTTTGGGCGATATAAAAACCACCGCCTTAAAAATGAGGAGAATTGTTATAGCACCGTCAGCTAATTAATGCCACACCAAAAGGGGCTATTCTCATGGGCACCGGACAGAAACGGCGAAAAACTCATGAGCGAAGAAAATGAGGAGAATTGTTATAGCGCCGTAAGATAATTAATGCCACACCAAAAGGGGATATTCTCATGGGCGCAGGACAGAAAGGGCGAAAAACTCATGAGCGAAGAAAATGAGGAGAATTGTTATAGCGCCGTCAGCTAATTATTGCCACACCAAAAGGGGCTATTCTCATGCGCGCAGGACAGAAACGGCGAAAAACTCATGAGCGAAGAACCGAAAACAATAACAGTCGAAAATCAAATATTATTATGAATCAATTGCCGTTCAACTAAAAGGAATTAAATGAAGCAACATTTCGGTTCTTTTATAACAAAACCCATGAAATATAAATTTGTTTCAATTCGCCGGCGATCAATGACAATTTGAAAATAGCCAAGACTTGTTAAAACTTAACAATTATTCATTCCGAAGGAGCTGTCTTTGTGCCAATATTTGTGACCATGTTTGGGGTTGAAAAGTGTGTTACCTGCATCTCTATAATGCGTTGCCCTTGCTCGTCCGTCAAAGTAGCCCCAGTGAGCATGGCCGAACTGGACCTCTTCATTCCGGCGTCACGTGCCACATCTGGCAGATTGGACCCCCCGGCCGCCGCATTCTTCTTGTTGGCTATTCCCAGCTGCGCTTCGTAGTCGTGTATCTTGGACCGACTCATCTTCAGTTCTCGGCGCAAGTCGTTGATCTCTTTGATCAAGGTCACGTTCTCCTAAAACACCAACAACAATCTAATAATAGTAAACATAGCCAACAGACAGTTGGAAAAGAGCCAATGAACGCAAGTAAACAAAAAAAACTGTCTTGCTTTTGGGAAAAATCACAAATTTCGTTAAAAAAAAACAGATGGCCTTACAGCTTTTTGAATTTCTAGAACAATTTATGATAGGTGCTTTTCGATAAAAATAACCCATTTGAGAAAGTTAGATTAATTAGTAAGTTACTTATTTCGCTGGGATATCTGTTAATTGAAATCCACTTTTATAATTAGAGTCGATCACGTACTAAATTTGAGACTTTTCCTGGAAAAAAAAATTATCACGACGTATATGTAAAAATTATCACGACTACTTTCATCGACTCTTAATAAAAATTAGACTTTATTCCGAATCATTGAGGCTTCTTTCTGTTTGTTCGCAATAATTAAGGTTAGTGGCGCGGTGGCGAAGTGGTCATATCTCCGCCTCTCATTCGAAAGGACGGGTGTTTGAGACTCACCCAGATCCGTGCTCTTTGCTTGAGGGTAAGGCAACATTACCCAGCCCAGAAATATATTCAAAAAAGTATGTAATTGTTGAAAAGGGGCGCAAAAGCGGTTCTCCGAGAAGCAGCTTAACAGCTCGTATGTTGGTCCTTAATCTTGTGGATAAATCGTCTTAGAAATTTTCTAGGAACCGTTTTTGCTTATTGAATGATTCCTGACGTTAAATCTTCCAGATCTCCCAATGTGAACAAACAAACAGCAAAATCTCACGAAATGTGCTTGATGTTCTACAGATTTTCTTTTGGAACTCTTTCTTCAAACTAATAGCAATCGAAGCTTAATTTTTAAATTCAACTGAATAACTGTCGGAGATTCATATTGCACTAGAATAGTTTTTGACGTATCTGTAAAATGACAGAAAATTGCAGTTAGACTTGCCTCACCATAAAAGAAAAGCCAGTTTTGTAATATCAGTAGATATAACACCTGACAATTTTTAAACTTTAGACAACTGACACACTGTAGTTACGAAAATTATCATAATCCAAATACTAATGAGGTGAACGTCCTTGAACTATTCGACTAGCCTGCATGATGCGGACGTTGTCTGCTCGGTGGATCTCGGTATCCTTGGACAGTTTCTTCCTCAAAGACGCCACCGACCTCTCCAAGTGTTCCCTCTGTCGACTGTACTCTTTCTGGATGTCGTTCCCGTCTCCCCCGGAACCACCCTCGGACCCCTCCCCTGCGCCTCCCGATGCTCCACCCGAGTGGGACACTGTCTGGTCGGCGTACTTGACATAGAGTGCCTTGATGGAGTCCTTGAGTCTCTTGGGTTCCTGGATGAGTCCAACTGTGTTGTGCAAATCCGCCTGGAACTGCTTGATTCTCTCATCCTTCTCACGTACCTAACACAAAAATTTCCAAAAATCATCATAAATTACAGATGATGATAAAGTACAAAATTGAATGAAAAAAAAAAATAAATTGAATTTTAGTTTGTGGATTCGACCCACTCGCCATCCAAAGAGTCCCTCTCGGTACTTTTTCACGACATTCACTTTCATTTTTTATAACGCTTTTAGCGCGCTAAGATATACTTAATTTAGGGGAGAGCAAGCGTCGCAAAACGATGGTTAAAACCTTCCAAAAAGTGTTCGTTTTGGTCAAAATTTTTCAAAAAGTCAAAACTTTCCAGAAAAACTTTCAAACTTTTTTTGGTCAAAAGTTTCATAAAAGTGTTTTGTGTATAACAAACCCTGGTGCGCTGGTCTCTCATCTCGTGGTCTGTGGCCTTCAGTTTCTGCCTCAACTGTCGCTTGTCCAGGTCCAACTGCTCATTGCTCTTGCTGATCCTCTCAAGCTCGCTCTCCATCTGCTGAATCTGCTCATTCTTCTCCTTGATCTGGGTCTCTCTGGGTTCAATGACCTTCTTCAACTCACTGATCTTGTAGTCCAACACAAACTTGAACTTCTCCAACTCCTGGTTCTTCTTCTTCAAGTCGTAGATTCTCTTTTCCTAATCACAACGTACATTTGGAGAACTGGCAAGGTGTCCGAAGTATCTCCTTTATTCTCTCGGTCATGAGTTCACTGAATCGAGGCCCACTATAAACCCTACTCAATGCTCAAGGGCGTGGTGAGGATATTTGCCATACCAGAAAATAACTATAAAAATTATCCTAACGAGAGACCAAACAGCGGTTCTTCGTAAAAAAGCTGAACAATTAGTTTTTTGGTCACTTGACTCGCTTTAAAACGGTCACAAAAGCCATTGCTTAATCATTATAAATTTTGTTTAGTTTCTGCAAATTGGAAATGATGCACTTAGATTACATGCTAAAATATTTGAAAGGTATATGCTAGTGTGAACAAAATACCATAAAAATGATGAAAGCCATAGTAACCATAAAAGGTAATGTACCTTATCTTGTATGGTCTCATCCCTCTCCTTGATTTCTTTCTTCAGTCCACTAATGTCCTTGTCTAGAGACTTAATGAGTCCATTCAACTTCTGGATGTCACTGTTTAGTTTCGTCTTATCCAAATTCAGATCGTCAATAATCTTCGCCTGGCTAGCATGCTAAACACATTAGGTCAGAAATTGAGAAAACATTCAATTTAAAAACGGGTATATTTTAATTTTAATTTCTAAACCAAAACATTGACCCACTGACGTAAGCCAATGGAGCAAAAATTCGTTGCTCTTCAATTATAATTTCTTCTCGTATCAATTTTCTGTTTTTTATCATAACAGTTGTGAAAACTGTCTGAGATTCATGCATATTGATTTATCTGTTGTATCAATTTCAAAGCCCCAAAAATACATTTCAAAAATCGTACCTTGAGAACCTTATGACAAAATAGACATTTTTGTGATACCAATACTGTAAAATTAATAGCAGAGGTTTATTGGTCTGTTGTTGTGAGAGACAAAGAAACCTTTTTGCGCATAATGCCCGAGTCGTTTTTGAGTTTGAGGTTCGTTTCCTGCTCGTCTCTGAGTCGCTTCTCGTACTTGTTCTTCGTGTCCAGCATCTCCCTGTCCCCGTCCTCCTCTATCTGCTTCCTGGTCTCCTCACTCTCCCGCTGAGCCTCCTTCGCCTCCATCTGGGCCTACACACAACACAAACACACATTAACTACTCATACAACACCATCAGAGAATATTGTTTTTTTTTGTTTTTTTTAATTAGCCCCCCGCCCAGCTCCCACCATTCAACCACCATGGGGCCTTTTTCCGTGGGGTGGAGGGAGGTTTGGGGGAGATGTAATCCAATTCGCCGCAGCCGGTCCCACCTTGAGGAGGCGGATGATACTGGGACCCTCTAACCGTGACCGAAGCGGAAATATTGTCGCAGTAACAATCACATAACGATATGGTCGCAGTTAGTAAAAATTATTCCACTGTAACCAGGGGCGGATCTAGGATTTTCTCGAGAGGGGGGGCTAATTTTCTCTGTCCCAAAACAGTATAAAGACTCTATTTTGACCGAAAACTTTGCGCCACAAAAAATTAGTACATATTGGCGCCGAAGACTCATTTAGAAAAATTTTAGGGTTCAACGCTCTGCTGATCGAAAGGGTCATCCCATTGTACTATTTCGAGATATCCATTTTTGGTTGACGAACCCTGAAATTTTCTAAAGGCGCCTATATTTTGAAGGGGAAAAAGCGCGCGCCAAAAAACGCGATTATTTTGGTCAAAATTTTCAAAAAAGTGCCTAAAAACGCCTTTTCTGACCCGTTTTCAAAATTTTCCCAGCGGCGCGGAAAATCTGGCCGAAACAGGGTCTTTTAAGTTGCTTTGGGAGAGCTCGGAAAATCAATTCGGTGACCTAAAAAAAGTAAAAACCAAAATTTTTTGAAAAAAAAAAACCTATTATAATAAATATCTTTATTTAGAAAACTGACAAAATTGAGTTCATAATAATTATCTTGATTTAAAAAACAAAAAAGCTTACTTCAATATTTATGCCCATTTTTAGAATAAGGCAGTATAATATTCATATCAAAACCAGTCGACGAAACTGAGGATTTTTGATGGGATGAGTTTTGACAATCTTTTATTTTTGAGAGCACTTAAACGATGATTCTTCTTATGACAGAATGTCCATTGTGCATAAAATAACATCAATCGATCGAAAATTTTCACGGTCCAATAAATCTTGAGTCCTTTCACGCTGACAGGATGTCTAAATGGTAAAATTTTTCCAGCCAATCAAAATCCTTTTAAATGTAATTGAAGTTCTGATCCAATCCTAGTCGCTTTACCTGTGCTAGTTGGGCTTCCTTCTCCTCCAGTCTCTTGGCGTAGTGTTCTGTCTGTTGGTGGAGGGCCAGAGAGTGACTCTCTTCCTGCTCCTGCAGCTGTCTCTCGTAGTCCTCCTGCATCTTCTGACTCTTCGCCTGTAGCTCCTGGTACTTTTCGTACTCCAACATCAACTTCTGGTTATTCGTGTTCTCTACATATCAATACAAAACACGCAATTACAGATATGAATTATTCTCTGAAAAGTGAATATTTCAGGTATATTCTCCTGAATATCACAATGAATTATTATCTGAAAAATGCTCCTGAATAACATAGTGAATATACCTAAAAATGGGGCTAAATTTTTTGGATAGGTTCATTTCACCAGCTTCTGATTATTTTGTGTTTTCGTTTATAATAAAAAACAACCCACATGATTATATAGTAAAATGACTTGGAAAGAAAACGTCAATGACTATAAGGAAGAAACCGTCAGCTAAAATTATTAATTTACAGGGTGAAAAAACGTAGAATGAAAATTAGGACAATAAGGAGTCGAAATATGCGGTTTTCCTCATATTATGTGTGGTGAGTGTGTTCTCTTGTGTGTATGTGTGTAAATCTATGGAAGTATGTTTGTGTATGTGTGTGTGGGGGGGGGGCGGTCGGCAGGGAGTGTTGATGTAAGTACCTATGTCCTGCATCTCCTTCTGGTGTTTTTCCATCATCTCCACCTGGTTCTCTTCATTCTTCCCCACTATCTGGTCCTTCTCTGTCTTGTACACCTGTGCCTTGGTCTTCTGGGCCTCAACCTCCTGCATGAAGCGGTCTGTGAGCTCTTTGATCTTGTCATTGTAGCTCATCTCTTTGATCCTCATTTGGTACTCGTTCTCCATCTTCAGCTCATCCACCCGAGTGTGCAGCTCACTCATCACAGCATTCTGCACAGAAAAAAAAACAATCACCGCATTTTGCACAGAAAAAACAATCACCGCATTCTGCACAGAAAATAACGATTACAGTAATATGTTAATTAACACCCATCATGAAGATCAACGCGTGTTCTCCTAAACCATTTGGGCTCTTTAACTTCCCTAGCTGTGGTTTTGACCAAAATAAACCTCATACATGGTAATTAAGGTCTTCATCTACAACCATGTCAAATCAAGGTCTCACACATTAAAGCTTATTTTGTTAGTTGTGAGAGAGGGCATAGTAAAAGGCGCACAATCCGACGCGTAAAGTAGCCAAAACTCAGCAGAATATTACAATCAGAGCAAAAGGTCGTCATGTTGATTCATCATAGATGATGCATAAATATTGGGTTCACAGCTCACAATTCGGTTTTTACATACTTGTGTGAATTATATAGTACCAAAATCAGCATCATCAGTCATAAGTCCCTCGTTCAGGGACAATATTCAACTCATAATCGACCAGGCAAATTTCTAGTGATTTATTTATATTAAACACAGAGGCGAAGCTGATCTTTACGTCACTTGCAATGCAAAAATTGAATGAATAAATTTAAAAGCAGATTAAAAGACAAATCAAAAACTGAAAAAAAAACACTAAAAATTTGTTTTTCGCCCAAAAAAGTAGAATTTTTTTAAAATTGCAAAAAGCCGAAAAGATCCTGGAAAACAATTACATCCACCATAAGAAACATAACAAAAAGCTCTCGGAATGCTAGAGAAGCCGCATCTCCAAAAAATCTTTCTGCGGGAACTAAGTCGACAAAATATCTGTTTGCGTCACCAAGTGACGCGAAGATCTGTTTTTAAGCAGGGTTCTAAATTTGTTGCAAGGCAAAAGTAAGCGAGAGCATAAACGCATATAAACTAAAGACCAAGTTGAAAATGATTGGACCAAAATCTCAATATACAACAGGTCGGTAGCCTAGAACCTATTCAAAGCGTTCAGGCTGGTCCGCCGCGGTTTCGAGCCCCCCATACTCCGACCTTTTTACAAGTAACCAAAAAAGGCTGGTGCCCAATTTGACCGTTTTTAACAGTTTTTTCGCTCTACTTCGGTTCAACAACGTTTAGGGCTGACCGTCAAAAAGTGCTATTTGTCTCAAGGAGAATCACCGGTTGTTTTGGCTAGCTTGCACCAAATTATCATAGAAAATTTGTACCAAAAAAGTTAATGTTATGCATGCGATTTATAGCACTTTTTGTTTTACTTAGTCATTACGGCAAAAAGTGTTTGTATTATCGAAAGTACGAATTGATGTTATGGTCCGAAAAATTTATATAACCATATTATTGAAAGTTATTGTCCAAAAATACGAATTGAATGTTATTTTCTGACCTTTCGTCATGTAACCATAAAAAACTGGTGGCCCATTTGACCGTTTTTAAAAAAAAATTCGCTCTAACTCGGTTTAGCCATGTTTAGGGCTAACCGTCAAAAAGAGCTATTTGTCTCAAGGAGAATCACCTGTTGTTTTGGCTAGCTTGCACCAAATTATCATAGAAAACTTAAGTCGAAAAATTTAATGTCATGCACGCCATTTATAGCACTATTTGGTTTTTTTAGCAATTACGACAAAAACTGCGTGTATTACCGAAAAAACGAATTGAAGGTTATTGTCCGAAATATTTTAACTTGATTAAAGGACACATGCGTGTAACTCACCTCCGGTGCTTCGATTTTGAACAACTAATATAAAATCGCATATATTGAAAAAATCCTGCAAACAATTGAGCTGCAACCTTTTTGACCTAAAACCGTTCGTAATTTCAAAATTTGTAAGGTTTTTTATTCAGTTTTTTAATTCAAAATTTGAAAAAACAACATTTTAAGTTTTTTTCATCAAAATTCTTTTGCAAATTATTGAAAAAAAAACGTCACATTTCGGAAAATAAATACAATCGAGTATTCACATTTAGACTCGAAGATTTGCAATTCCTGAGAGTACCCTTACTACAGCGTTCGAAATTTTAAACTTTGAAAAACTTCAAACTTAAGTTTTATAAAAAAATTTCTTTTGAAAAATATGTCATATCTCGAAAACTACCAAGATTTGAGCAGTCACATTTGGAGGCAAGATTCGAAAATTCTGAGAATGCCCCAAAAGACTCCAACTACAGAGTACGAAAATTCCAATTAAAAAAAAATAAAAAATAGGCTTTCTGAAACTTTTTTGAAAAAATCACAAAAAACGTAATATCTGGAGAACTACAAAAATATGAGCATTCATATTTTGGGGGGGGGGGGGATTTGCAGCACCCAACAGACCCCAACTAATTTCAAGTTGGGGTGGGGAATTTCAAGTTTTTGTAAATTATTTGGTAATTTGAGTTTCTGGAAATTTTTGAAAAACTGACAAAAATCGTCGTATCTGGTACACTAAGAATTTGGGCATTCAAAATTGGAGATCAAATTGGCGACCCCTGGGAGAACCCTGACAGCATCCCAATATTGGACAGCTTTTTAAACACGGTGAAATAAACTCTGAATTCAAACTAGAAAACGGAAAAAAATCTTAACCATTGCAAAATACGATACAGCTTAAACGTGAACAAATTCTTTCGTTAAACATGCAAAAATAATACGCTGGAAAATCTTAAACGTGGCGAGATAGTGAAGCTCGTATTTAAATATATAAAAGACTGAGCGGACAAAATGATAATTTGGCTTCAATCTCAGTTAAAATATATTAAAAATGTACCTTCTCTTCGAGGTCTGACTTTGTGACCAGAATCTCCTCCGAGAACGGCACCTCTTTATCTCTTTTCATACTGCGACCCTCTTTGTCTGTGATCTTCCACACCATTACTGTCGCATCTGCCGCACACGTGAACAGGAACTGGTCGTCGAAACTGATCTTCATTCGAGTAATGGCTCCACTATGTGCTTGATACTCTTGCCACTCCCCTGGCACTGTGAGGGGGAACTTGATACATCTGAGCATGCCAGTATTGTTGCCAGTGAACATCATTCGGCCCCCGTGTGACAACACAATTTGAGTCTGTTCCGACTGAGACATGTCAACCTCCCGGATGATCTAAAAACATGATGATCTAGCCACACGTCTGGTTCTAACCTCGGAAAACAATGATTGATCAAGTTCACAAAATTGAAAAGTAGGTCATAACTGAAAAAAAAAATCCGTTTTTTCTTAGTGTCTCGCATTTTTGTGCATTGAACTTTATGGAACTGGTCATCATAAAATATTCAACATTTTCACATTAGAAAAGGATAAGTTTTAATGATTTCAGAAAAAAAACATTACATATTGTTATTGGATAAAAGTTCTGGTAATTTTAAGGCACCAAAAGGTAAGCCAGAAAAGCAAGAGAGATAAGTGCGAGAAGGAGGGTCGGGGTGGGGACTTACCTGCGAGTCGGCGATCTCTTTGATGGTCTTGTCATTTCCAACTGCATACATACTCTTGCTCTCAGGCGAGGAAGTGACACCTATAACACAGAATAATTGGGGATCTCTTCAACTATACCACCGCCCCCCCCCCCTTTTGAGAACATAAAAAAATATTCACCCTAATCATCAAACACCCCTTTTTGTGAAAGTAGTAAATAAGAAAAATATCACCTTTTCCCTTACCATTTTAAACAGGATTTGGAAGCAGTAGCGGATTTAGGGGGAGGGGGGGACGGACGCTCCCCCTTAGGGATTCGACCCCCTACCGACCCAAAGGGTCCCCCCTTTGAACTATTTTGAGATATCCATTTTTGGCTGACGGACCCCTAAATTTTTCTAAGGGCGCCTTTGGCGCCAATAAATACTAATTTTGAGGGGGGAGCGCGCGCCGAAAAAACGCACTTTTTTGGTCAAAAACTTTTGAAAAGTGCCTAAAAACGCCTTTTTTTCAAAAATTTGCCTGCAGCGCAGAAAATTTGGTCAAGTTATGGTCTTTATAGTGGTTTGGGAGAGCTCAGAAAATCAATTTGGTCGACCTAAAAAAAAGGTCGACAAAATTTTCGAAAGTTTTTCGAAAATCCGCCCCCCTCGAGAAAATCCTAGATCCACCCCTGATTGGGAGGACAATTTCTAAAGAGCTCAGCGCATAGTTAGTGAAAATTATGATTTGCTATGTTGAGAACTGACTGGAAAATGCGCATGTCTTCATGATGATCTCGTTGAGTCTCTTCTGAGAGAGGATCTCCCACTCGTAGACTGCCCCCTCCTGCCCGCAGGACACCAACCGGCTGTCATCCCCACTCCAAACTACCTGCTTCACCTAACACAACAACCAATCACAAATCACTCAAGAAGAAAAAAGACTAAACAATAGACAGACGAATTTAAAGCAGAAAGCGTTAGTGAACCATAAAGTAGCACCTAACTGGAAATGGTAGTTTTGAAAGTAATCATGGTTTCAATTCTAGCTGAGACTCTCGACCTTCAAAAAATGAAAATCTAGAAAGAAAGAGCAAAGAACGCAGCTCCTAAAAAACTCAAAAATGCCAGTAAAAAATATAAACGCGATTGGCTAATAATTTAATTTGACTTGCTAAAGGCTGGGACGTATTTGCATAAGTTTAGGCCAATGCAACGTATAAGAGAGGAACAGCTGAAAAGACTCATCTTTTAAATATGAGCAAGTGTAGTAATTACCTTTCCGTTGTGACCTTTGAGGTTGTAGAGGTTCTCGAAGGTCACAGAGGAGTAGATCTGGATCACAGTGTTCTGCACAGCTGCAAACATACTGCCCCCGTTGCTGAACGCACACTGAAACACAATTAAATATAACCAAATAACAACAAGAATGGCCGGTTGCTGTGTAAAAATCACAGTGATCCGATCACATGCATTAAAAAAACTTAAAAATTTTTTTTTCTAAAAATTACTGTCGTTTTTTGAGAAATAATTATGCAAAATGGTACAAAGTTAGTAAATTAGTAGGCTTGAACCTCTCCAACCGTGACTGAAATGGGATTCGAAAGCACAACCCTAGTGTTGAGAGACGAGCGCGTTACCCCCGGCCACGGCCGCTCGATGAGTGATTGCATGTGTGTACGCGCGAGTGCTTGTGTAAGCCTTTGTGTGTGTGTGTGTGTATGTGTTTGTACATAGTCGGATGTAGTGTTGTGGCCTTGACTGGGACAGCGCATCGTTTATTTTCCTCTCAAGCTGTTATCTAGATTGGGGGAGGATAAGGGGGTTAGTTCAGTGTACTTCTTTGCAGCCCGTGATGATGATCTCTTTGAATGTGCGGATGTGGTGTATGAGGATGTTCATGAACATCTAGTTAGGGGGGAGGGGGAGAGGGAGCTGGGAGGGGAGGGTGTTAGTGTAGTGTACCTCTTTGCAGCCCCTGATGATGATCTCTTTGAATGTGCGGATGTGGTGTATGAGGATGTTCATGAACATCTAGTTAGGGGAGAGGGGGAGAGGGAGGGAGCTGGGAGGGGAGGGTGTTAGTGTAGTGTACCTCTTTGCAGCCCCTGATGGTGATCTCTTTGAATGTGCGGATGTCGTCTATGAGGATGTTCATGAGGCGCAGTTTGTCACTGAAGCCCACGAGCATGTACAGTCCTGAGGGGTGCAGAGCTACACTGTGCGCCTCCTCCGCGAACTCCTTCCACAACTCCAACTGGCTAAAATTCACACATTTATACATAACACCAATGACTATATCATCATAATCAGGGACCAATTCCGAGTGGGGATTCGATGCCCTCAAAAGGCTCCCCCGTTCGCAATAGTTTACTGAGCCGAGTTTCTGCTGAGAAATTGTGCTTATTTCGAGGTCAACAGTACTTTCCACAAAATTATGAAAATTTGCCCATTCTTCTTCAAGCAAAATGTAGATCCCTTTGAATGTAATCATCAGTAAAAAAATATTTTAAAGACCACTATCAGTTTCTCACCCGGTTCGAAAAGCTTTTTTCAACTTATAACTCTAAAACATTAGCCAGAGGTGTCAGGTCATTACAGCCAAAATCTCTAGTTTTTACATTGTGATGTGCAGACCCGATTAGCTCCAAGAAATCGCATTGATTTTGTGCAAGCAAGTGTTCATTATAATGCTGACACATTAATTAAAAATACTAACAGCAAAAAAATGGTATTCGAACATAAATATGAGAGAGGAAAGATGCGCTAGTGTGGATTGAACTAATATTTGTCGGTCATTGAATAAGTCGATTGTGACACGAAGGATTCCCCGCAGTCTGTTGCAAAGAAAAGTGATTTTTTTGTCTTCAGGAAGATAAAAAAAATCAGTCGAAAAAAATTCGGAATTCTGAATATTGTATTCAAAGAAAAGGACTGTGAACAAAAACGGGTTGACCTTGCAGAGATTGACATCCCTGACTTATCATTATACCATGAGTCAGGGCTGCAAACGTACTGATCATGAATAAGAGGCCATTGATCAGGGCATGAAACAGCGACAAATATTTCAAATGAAGTGCAGCCCTGAATCATGGATAATTCAGTGAGACGATGGCTATTCCAAAAATCAGCGCTTCTGATTCTACTATAGTTAAGCGCTAACTGCGAAAGTCATTGCAGTTTCAGAGATGATTCAGCACTAATTCAGAGCAGAGTTTTTCACCGCTGATTCAGAGATATTTCAGAGCTAATTCCGAATTTTATCTATGTTTTTGTCTTGATTATGGATAAGTGCCATGGCCACCGATCAGGGTCTGAAACAGCGATAATTATCTCTGCGATATGTCAACCCGGGAAGAAAATGTTACGGTACTGACTTGGTCTCGTAGTTCCAGATGCGCACACTCTTGTCCATGGAGCACGTGACCACGTATGGCTTCCTAACACAGATGTCTGCCCCCGTGATCTGCCCAAAATGGAAGGTCTGAGCCAGAGTGTCAAATTTCGCCACTTCTCCTGCCTAAAAAGACTGATATTATTTTAAAAAAAAAGAATTAAAAAAATCAAGTTTGTCTGATTTCAATTTGGAACAACTTTGCGTGCGGGACAAAAACTCGTGTTACGCCTTCAACATCATAGATAAAGTCTTCAAAACATTAAAAGAGCAGTATTAATAGACTTGAAACTCATTTAGGATGTAGCGTAGCTAAATCTAGAAAACGTAGATTCCAGGTTCGACCTACAATCAACAATTTTCTTTCAAAAATTGGTTTGAACAAAAAACCAACAAAATCTATATACTTCTCCTTTTCTTCGAAAGACGAATGGAAAAGCAAAAATTTTGTGTGTAGATCCGAAAAAAAGTGTTTGAAAATCTTTAAGACGCTTTTCTGTCATATTTAGGCTAATTTTACTATTTGGAAACAATGAAAAAAACTAATTACGGCTCATCACAAAACAACCATTTTGATTTTTGGTTCTTTTGTGTGAAAAAACGAAATTGGACTACGTTACACACCAAAAAACTTACTTTTTTGCATGCAATCTTTTTTTAAAAACATTTGTTTGAACCTTAAAACAATTTTTGCGACGACTAAAATTTTTAAAAATTGTAAAAAAAAAATTGCTGATTTCCTGGATTCATTGAAAGGGTACCCAGCAAGCTCCTGGATGGTCCCTGGCAAGAAATCAAGACTTCCCTGGACTCTTTAAGTTCATGGCAGGAGGTCCAAGGTTTTTCGTGGCTATGTAACCCGGGTTATGTATTTCTTTCATTTTAACAGAGCCTGATCTTATTTCAGCCATTTACAACTCCGGCAACCGGTCAATGTATTCTTGAATTTTTTTTAACTCAACAAACTGTTTAACATTGTTTATTTATCGTTGTAAACAGTTGCGATTTGTATGTATAGAGAGTGTAATGACTGAGTGTTGTTTTTACAAGCAATCAAAACTCAAAAAAATTGCAACCATATTTAATTTTTTCCCTTAAGTCCTGTAAACTTGAAAAGGAAAGAAAAGTTGAAATTTAATTAAGGATCAGCGATTAGGAAGCTTGCTACAGATTGTAATAATAATGAAATGCCTTTAGCTCTCAAAATCAAATCAAATCGACTCCAAAATTTTTACCAGCGGTCACTTACCATAGTTACAGGATTTAAAAAAAAGACCAACAAACTTACTGAAATATTGCGTGCATCATTTTCTTCTCAAAAAGTCAAATTGATAGACAAAATTAGATGCTGTCGAAGAACAAGAGTATAGACATGGGTTTGATGTGAAACTTACCCGGGTGAAGTCTGCGCCAGAGAGTGAAATATGGAACAGCTGGTTAGTCACTGTACTCGCAATGAGAGTGTCCTCGGCTGGACTCAACACCAGTGCCCCCACCTCGTGACTCACACCCCCTGAACCCTGACCAGCACCCCCAACAGCACTGCCTCCTCCCCCTCCACCACCCCCCTGTCCAGACATAGACTCACTGTTAGAGTCCATCGGAATCTAAAGAGAAACAAACAACAAGAATACTTCTAAGTGCCGCAGTTGTAAATCAAGCTGAATACAAAAGCGCGCCCATTATGTTGTTACGTAACTCTTATCCAACCATACGTCATAACTGCTCCTCAATGTCAATTCATAACTAAAATTTCAGTTTATTAGATAAGAATGCCAATTACAAAAATTAAATCAGGTCGTTTGGGCTATATAGTAGAAATATGGGTTTCGACCAAACAAATGGGCATGTGTTGCAATATGTGGCTCCTCAAATTTTTTATACCTACTGAGAATCGATACCTCAACCTATCGTATTCAAGTGTAATTTCACGATACTAACTGAGCTCTAATCTTCTATACGTCACATGGTTCGCCCAACCTCATTCATTTATTAGTCATTATTTTTTAACAATGTAGTATTTTGTGCTTGTTAATTGTTTATGGGAAATATTCAGGTTCCGACCCCCCCCCCCCCCCCCCCACCACGGTTGAGTATAAAAGAAACTAAAAATTATTTTTATGGCTTAATTAGTCCGCATGCCAATTTTTGTAACAATCGAACAATATAGACGAAAAAATTGCAGGTCGAGGGAAAAGGAAAAAGCCACTTACCCGGATCTCCTTGGCGCGTTTGTAGAACCCAGTGTCTTCTATCTTTTCGTACAGAATAGCGCATCCCCCTTCAACTGCGGCCGCGAACCCCTTCGAGTACGCAACTACCCCCCTGATGTTCCCCCTGCCCATGTCCAGAACAGGCAGTCCATCCACATTACTGCCGGCGTCAGTGTCACTCCTATACACGAAAACACACACAAAAGTTAGCCGTCGAGTTGGTACAAGAACTCAAAGAAAAAACGTCAAGCCACTGAGTCCGCATGAGAAGACCCCCCCCCCCTTGGTATTATTCTATGACATCCAGCTTAGGCCGAAAAACTCTTCGGCACCAATATAATACTAATTTTAAGGGGGAGCGCGCGCCAAACAACGCAATTTTTTGTCAACATTTTCCAAAAAGTGCGCAAAAACGGCATTTTTGACCTGTTTTTTCAAAATTTTGGTTGCGACGCAAAATTTTTGGTGAAAATAGGGCTTTATAGCGTTCCGGGAGCATTCGGAAATTCAATTTAGTCGACCTAAAAAAAGGTCGACAAAATTTTCGCACGTTATTTGAAAATTCGACCCCCCCTCGAGAAAATCCTAGATAAGCCTCTTTCTGAACATGACAAGCAAGAATTTTAAGAAAAATTTGCAAAGGTATTTAATTCTTTCCTCTAAGGTCCTGAAAATAAATAATTAAACAAGACCATATTTTTCTCGGTTTAGTTGATGCTATCTTAATCAAAATAAAACAAACATCATTCTCACATCTGCTACTTGAAAATATCAGCAGCCAAAGAGTTAGTTTTTAAAAGTTTATTTCCATCGATTGTACTTTGTGAGCAATGAGTAAGTCATAATATCGCTTCAGGAATCTTTAATTTTCATCCAGATCCAAATTTTTTAGAAAAAAAAAGAACTTTAAGGCAAATTCCGACCAATTTTTATGGTCATTTTCGAGCGTAAGACGGAATTTGAGGAGGCAAACAATCCATCAAAAGGTCGGAATGGTCGTGCATTGCGGAAAGGCTCGGACTTCCTCGCAGATTTTTTCGCCCCAAAATTTCGGCAATCAATCCGCTCAAAAAAAAGGTCATTGAAATAGTTTTTTTTTCAATTTTTCATTGAAATTGTTTTTTTTTTCAAATTGTTTTTTTTTCAATTTGTCACTTCAATTTTTCCGCCAGTAGAGGATTTAGGGGGAACGCATTTTCCCATCAGCAATTTGACGCCTTGAAAAAACGCTTCAAAAAGCGTCTTTGGCTCCAGTATTTACCAATTTTGAGGGTAGAGCGCGCGCCAAAAAATGCAACCAAGTTTGGTCAATTCATACCAAAAAACACCTGAGTGCAGAACTAATAACTTTGATGAGCTGAATGTACTGAGTGTTGTTACCTGGAAGTGTACTCTGCGTGTGTTGCCATCTCCGAATGTACGCTGTAGTCTACCTATAACACAACACAAAAATCATTACCAACTCAGAGGGCGATTCACTCATCCGAAGGAACGAATGCCCGAACATTTTCAACCAATCAGCGTCATTCTGTCCAAAACTGATTGATTTCATTCAAATTCTTGAGTTTGATTAACTCTGAAAAGTTGAATTCAGTAGCGTGCCAAGGGAGAAAGGGAGGGGGCATTTGGTCCATCTGCATCTGGCATAAGGGATTCCTCATAACACAATCGTTGGTTTGGTACAATTGTCGCAAAATGGTATTTTTTCCTCCTTTTCTGTCGTTCATTTTTCGTGCATGTTAAGTTTTTCTAACAAATCTAAAACACTTTTGTAGATATTTGACAACACATTCAATATCTTCTGAGGTTCAAGAACTGTAAACAACAACTTACTAAATAACAACTGTAAGAAGAAATGTCTTTTTAAATTACTTATTACAATTGGTTTAACGAATGAGTGGTGGGGGACAAGTGGAGTGCATTTGGTGACTCGACGGGGGGGGGTTATGGATACCTTGAGTTCTCCGTTGTCGAACACAAGCAGTCTGCCCTGGTCAGTTCCCACTATCAGTCTGTCCTCTGCGGCCCAACAGTGTGCAGTGTAGTTAGCTGGCTCTATCTTCTGGAACCCACTCTGTTTGAATGCACCTTCAGTGTATCTCAACTGTTTGATAGTCTGATCTCCCACCGCCACTACCAGAGTGTTGTCGTGTGGGTTGAACGAAACCTAACACAAGATACAAGTGTGACAAAAAAAATTAACGATTGCTGTCCACATTACGTCATTATTTCTACCAGACAGCTATCATCGCGAAAAAAACTTCAAAAAGTTTGACTTATTCAAAATTTGAGCTGTTTTCAACGTAAGAAAAGTATGGCCGGTTTCTGTGCAAGTAGCAGAGAGTGTTCCGACATAGTCTTTAAAAAACTGCGAAAAAAAGGTTCTTTTTTTTCAAATTGATGTAGTTTTTTTTCTGCGTGGTGGTAAAAGGATCTAACTTAAAACTGTAATTTAGGCATTTTCGAAAGTTTATGCCTGAGCTATGATTTAGGCAAAAAATGATAAGAAAATCAAAACAATTTTTTGCAATTTTGCAGAAATTTTTTTGAATATTTTGGTTCCCAAAATGGCGCTAAAAACACCAAAAACTATTTTTTTTTGCTTAGAACCATGTTTTCAGGGCGGAATTAAATTTAACAAAAATAAGCTGTTGTAAGCCTGCTCTCTCGTTTTATTCGCTCGAAATTAAAACAAAAAATAAAAATTTCAAACCAATTTTTCTGAATTTTTTTTAAAAATCGTCCCTGTTGAGGAATAGTTTTGTACACTAATTTGCGCCACAAAATAGTGTGCAACCCCGAATACAAAACTTTTCCCCATTGTTCTGATGGTAGGAACAAAAAACTTGTTGCAATGTAATTAGTACAGAATTCTCGGACATCAATTTTTAACATAAAATTTGAAAAACGAGAAACTAATCGAAAGTCGTCAAAGTATGCTGGATAGAATAATTGCATATGAATTTGCAATTTCAATTTTAGGCGACTCAGTCAAATGAATGAGACAATTTGGCGAAAGACTATTCAGGCAGTTTTAAAACGTGCACAAAAAAATTTTCGCAAAACATCAAAGCTTCACTTAGACGACTTATAATTAATTCCTTTCAAATGCACATTAAACAAATTAAATTAATAGAAACAAAAGTACCTAAGCATAAGGAAATTTTATGCAAATCATTATGTTTCCAATTGTAGAATAGTGGCTAAATAAAAACTGATCTCAACAAAAAACTCCAGAATACTTGAACGTTAACCAGTTTACACGAAAGCAGACCCGAAATTGAAAATGTTACAGGCGGTCAAAAAGGTTATCAGTTAAGGGGTTGACCACCCCTACCACTTACTGGCCACACACTTACGCTGATATTCTTATCAAGCCTTAGGCGAGGGAGGGTGCAACCGCCTATCATGTAATTTGGGTAGTTGTTTGAAACTAATTTGAAACTTCAACTTCTTTAAAAGATAAACTTATTGCGACTAAAATTGCGTCCAATCAAAAATCATTACCTAGTTTAAAGCCTACTTTTTCCAGTTATTTGGTCCATTTACACAATTAACATTGATTAATCTTCATCAGTAAATAGCTCAAGCAATTGGTTAATTAGTATCTGAACCCTTCTCATTCATTCGTCTTAAGCAAAAACTGACGTATGAAATAGAATTCATATTATCTGAACGCGAAAAAAAAACATATTTGTCTTGATAGTTATAGCTGCAAAAACTCAATAAACTACAATCGAGACCATATACAGAAGTATTTAAAACTTTGTACCCTTAATGTGGATATATCCTACAACTTTATGCATAGCAAGTTTGATTTGATCTTTGCAACTTGTTATTTGATGTTTCAAATTTCTTTGTTAGAGTGTTGAAAGCCTTCTGACTCTAGTCAAATTAGAAACGCTGTGATTTTTCCTTTTATCTAGTCTCTTCAATCTAAATTAGTCGAAATGGCTTTTGTCCGAATTGTCTGAGTGTTCTTAGCTGAATTGTCTGTATTTGAAATCGGTTGAATTTTCTGTGGCTAAATTGTCTCAGCGCCTCATGAGAAAAGTCTTCAAACATGTTAAAACTTTGTCGGAACGATCAAAGAGAGTGAAAGAACAAAAGAAGAAAAAAGGGAGCGTCCTTGCTGCGGAATTGGCTTACAAATCACACAAGACACAGTTTGGCCTCGTAATGAACGAAGAAAAAGTCAAGAAAAACGCAAAAAAAAACCACAAATTATTCAACTGGAGGTAAATATATGTTTGCTCATTGCGAAATTAATTGACTAACATCTAAACACGAAAATACGTTGAACAATTTTTGAAAGACGCAGTAAAAGAGATTTTGCGTTGATCGGAATTTTACGAAAATATGGAATCAACTAAAACTAGTTGCAATACTACAAAAAAAATGCTTGAGAGGCAGCCGAAAACCAAAACTAAATTTTTCTAGAAAAGTCTCAAAAACACATCAACCAAAAACTCGAAACGTTAGTTCCGAGTGAGTTTGATTGAAGGGACTCTTGTCAAAGAAAAAAACAATTACCATAGTTAAATTAGTATTCACGCAAAACTTACACAGAGGCGAAGCTGCATTCTCAAACACAAGCCACAAAATGCGAATTGGCTGCAAAAAGTGAAACAAAAAAGCAAAAACCAGCTTTGAAAAACTAAACTTTTGCATGTGCGAGCATCGTAGAAACCCAACCTAGAGATTGAGAGCCACCCGTTTTCAACAAAACTAGTCACCAATAAGGCGGATAAACACATGTTGATAAATTGCCTATGCTATGCAGCAAAAATGCCAAAAAATGCCACCACTTGTAAGCACTTATAATTGCAAGTTGGATTGAAAAAAGGGACTTGTGTCATAACACAAAGCTCGCAAGCTCGAACGATAATTAAACTGTGACAAGAATTGGGCGGAGGAATGTTGCGCCGAAAAAAAATTGTGCACAACAAATATTTCCCCTCCAAAGACGTTTCATATGGCAACTAAAACAAAATAATATATGCAGAATTATTGTTTCCAGCAAAAAAGAATCAAGGAAAGCCGATTGGAATACAATCATCAGTTTTTATTTCGACGCCAGATGTCTTCGAAGAATGAATAACAATCATTTTCCAGTATCTAGCAGTAAATTACCTGATGTATTGCATTGGCGGGGTTCTGACTTGCGGTAATTTTGGCCATGATTTTCGACTTCTCCCAGTTCCAGTAGATGAGTTGCCAGTCGGGTCTTCCAGCTTGGGCCAGCAGGTACTTTGAATCCGGACTAAAAGCGACAGACACGAACTCAGTAGACTGGAGTTCCGAGTGAGAGAGGAGTTTTTTCTTCCTCAGACTGTGAAGATCGAAGATGGTGATGGTCGCTTTGGACCCCTTCTCGGCAACTGCACAGAACTTTCCGTTAGGACTCAGAGCCATAGCAGTGATTCCCTCGCTCTTCTCTGAAGTACAGGCAATAAATCTTTGGATCTTCTGGTCTATGTTATACAGCACTATGTTCGACCCAGAAGGGTAAACGATGTTCGTTTCATCTATGAAGGCCACATTTCCGGCTACGTCTCCTTTCAGCCCAAAAATATGCTTGCATTGGGCTATTGCAATCGACATTTTCTATATCTGAAAAATACTACCGCATATTTAGAAATAAAACTACCCTCCTCCGTCATAATAATTTGGTCACGAATTCAAGCACGAATTCATTATTTTGTAATAGATAATTTTTTAAAATGGGGTCATTCTCATTGATATCCCCAGCTTAGCAGCCAAAAAATTATAGCCCCCCCCCCCTAATTTGTCAATTTCCAATTAAGTTTACAAGAATTGGTGATCTCCAATTCATAAATGCAAACACACGAAAGTTCTTTTCCAATTTGTTAAAACGAAACCTAGTGCTGCTTACTTAGAGTTACGCTTTTTCCCGGGAGTTCAAATTCTTGATTTTTTCGGTAATTAGATTGCAAAAAATGAAACCAGCACCCAAAATAAGACGAAGCATTTGTCAAATTGCCAGTATCACCCCGGTTTCATAATCGGTTATTATGGTTTCAGGCATCGAGGAAAAGCCGACTAATTCATTGCATTTTTCGGACAAAATTTTGAAAAAAAACTTGTACAATTTTTCGGATGTTCCGGTCAAAAGTCCCCAAACTGCAGGAAGTTTCCAAGTATGAGCCGTCCCGAAGATGACCCGTCCCGAAATATGAGCCGTCCCGAAATTTCCAAATATGAGCCATCACACAAAAATTTTTGGCTCCTCAACATGAAATAATGACCTCGTTCGTACCAAAATTCATCATACTTTGACCTTAATAAAGTATGAGCCGTCCCGAAATTTCCAAATATGAGCCATCACACAAAAATTTTTGGCTCCTTGACACGAAATAATGACCTCGTTCGTACCAAAATTCATCATAATTTGACCTTAATAAAGTAGAAAATTATGACGATTCAGGCTCATTGTCCACAATCCTTCAAGTTTAATTTCTTTGAAAATTTTTCGCGGTTTAGGTAAATTTTTGTTCCATTTTCGTTGCATACTTTGCCGAATTGTATCGTATTTGTGGGCCACAAATCGCTGATCTGATTCTTGTAAATCCACGCCATATAATTTTTTCGGCGCTATTTTAGGGTTTTTGCGACAATTTCGATAACTTTTTCTCGAAAATTGATTTCGAACATATGCTGTTCTTGCTCAAAATGATTATGTCTGGAGGATTTCATTTTAATTGAATAACACACGAAGTTTGAATGAGCAACTTGGGTTCACGATTTCGCAATATTGGATATCTTCATTTTGTTTTGAAAATTTTTTTTCATTGTGCTAGGTAAATAAGACGACAGGCCATTTTTTGTATAACAATTTAATCAGAAGTTCAAAAGTATCATAGTAAACGAGGTTACAGTCAGGAGTCCTTTCATCACATATTCCAGTCAACATCCTAGGATTTTTTAGATATGCAAGAGTAAAGTATAACCTGGATAGAAGCAAAGAGAATCAGATGGTTGTGAATCAAGCCAACCAGATTGAGAAAACTAAAATCTGCACAGAATAAATTGGAGTTAAGACGACAAGACCTAAAGACGACAAATAAAAGTTATTACATGTAAAATGAGCAGTTCGAATTTAAGCGGTTTAAATTTGTCAGAAATACAATTTGGGAAAATTGCGTCCAGCGTCGTCTAAATGTCCCATCAAAAACGGCTGTCTTCAAAACTGCTGTCGACTGATTTGCCTGCCAACAATTTTAGTTTTTCGCCCCTTTGTTCTGATGTATCAATTGAAAAATCCCTAGAAATGACGCTTAGTATTAAAAAAATGAGCAACCAGGTGAGTCCAAAGTCCAGTTTAGTTTTAGTTACAATTACCCGGGAGTTCAAATTCCAAAGTTGAGCTTTTATTATATTTTACTTTTAGACCCACTCTGCTCTTAGACCAATCTTCCTAATGACTGGCCACCTATTTACTGTGCAATTTTATTTATTTGAACTTTTAAGGTCAGAAATTAATTAGAAGTCGATAAAAAATATCACTGAAGAAAAATTCAGGCCAGTCTCGGAATTTGACGGTCCCTTTAAAAACTGAGCAAAAGTGAGGTGTCAGAGTCACACTACACATCACAAGATTATGATAAACTGCATCAGCTAAGAAAACAAACAGATACAGGTCGCACACAGATACAATTATGAGCTATGAATTGCAAGTAGAGGGATTGTAATCGTAAAAGATTTAAACCAATGTAAACTATTTCTACAATATCTAAAATGAATAGATATCCGGAAAATGAAAAAACTTCAATTTCAATTTCAGTTTTCTATCAAGCCACAAATCGAACGTCTATGATCTCGATTAGCTGAGCGGAAACTAAAACCCAAAAGATCGTGTTAAAATATGTTTAACCAGGTCGGTTTTATTTTCTTAGGTTCACTCTATTTAGTTTAAAATAATGTATCATGACTAAAATGGGCGATGCAAATGTTTTCGAATTATTGAAATCAATAAAATGTATATTTTTTCAGGATCAACCAGTGAAAAGCATGTGCAGTATAGTTGAAGTTTTTGCCCTCTGATTTCTGAATTTTGATAGAGAACAAATCTATATTTTCGAAGTATATCCGGGTAAAGGCTTTAAGGTCAGCAATTAATTAGAAGTCGATAAAAAATCTCACTGAAAAAAATTCAGGCCAGTCTCAGAATTTGACGGTCCCTTTAAAAACTGAGCAAAAGTGAGGAGTCAGAGTCACACTACACATCACAAGATTATGATAAACTGCATCAGCTAAGAAAACAAACAGATACAGGTCGCACACAGATACAATTATGAGCTATGAACTGCAAGTAGAGGGATTGTAATCGTAAAAGAGCTTTTATTAGAAGTCGATAAAAAATATCTCCGAGCGACAAAATTTTTTCGGAAACGTACAGGTAGGATGCGGTACCAACGAGTAAACTAAGTCATGAGTCAACAACAACGGACAGAAACTCAGCTACCAATTAATCATGAAAAACAGATTGAAACAGAGAAAATTCAGAAATGCGCTAACAGCAAACAGTAGAGGGATTGTAATCGTAAAAGAGCTTTTATTAGAAGTCGATAAAAAATATCTCCGAGCGACAAAATTTTTTCGGAAACGTACAGGTAGGATGCGGTACCAACGAGTAAACTAAGTCATGAGTCAACAACAACGGACAGAAACTCAGCTACCAATTAATCATGAAAAACAAATTGAAACAGAGAAAATTCAGAAATGCGCAAACAAATCGACGGAAGAAACAAAACAAATCCAAATTATTAAAATCAGGCCCCCATTCTCGAAAGAAATGGTCAAGTCAGCCAAAAATCTGGCGCAGGCATATCGAAAATGTGCTTCCGATATACTGAAACAATTCTCAACAACATTGCAACAGAGAATAGGGAGGAATAAGGCTTGCTGCTTCGGATGACAAAATTGCTCCTTTTTCAACTGATAACAATAAAAAATTGTTGTGTAAGCACCCTCAGCGAGCCAAATTTGCAGCTCCAAAGTTAGAACTTTTTTCGTAACCGATTTCGACCTATACAAAGCGATAATGTCCTCTCCGAACGGATCAGCAGCAGGTCGTCATAAAATAGTTCCTCAAATTTTTAAAGATCTCGTTAGTAAGTCGAATGGCAGTGCAGGACTTAACTTTCTGAAATCGCTTACAAAGCTGATAAACCTCATTGGAGATGGCAAAATACCCGAACCCCTAAGACTTTTTTTTTGGCGCAAAGCTTATCGCCCTCATAAAAATATGTGCCAGTCGGTCATATTTGGAAGTTTGACCTTGAGGAATACGGACAACGTAATTTTGGGGTGAAATGTAATTTTTCAAAAATTCGAAATGGACATGTCATGCGCAACTTTCTCGCGAAAACTGAAAAACTCAGAAACACAAAAGCAGAACGACCGAAATATAATCGCGGGAAAGTGGTCAAATTATGCAGCGGGAAATTTCTATTCGCAATTTCCTATTTTTAATTTGAAGAGAATAGAGCTGTCTTATTCGTGACAGGAGACAGAAAGTAATCGCGAGCTATTAAGAACATCGATATTCAGTTGGACCAGAGTGAGCCTTCAGTGGAAAGGTAGACAATCGAAGTCTCCCAATGGTCCAGACCAAAAACTCAATTCTGAAGCTAGAACTTGTTCGATTAGAACTTATTGAATCAAACTTAATTCCCTATTTATTCTCAAGATGCTTATTAATTTACTTAGCTCAAATTCTCGAGTGTGCCAATATGTGAGTACTCAATTTAGTTTTCTTGAGTGTGTTTTATGATTGCTATGTTGAGGTAAGGAGAGTTTTAGGTTGATCCATCTGAAATGGATCAAAGTTCCCTTGTCTAATGAAAAGTAACTGTACGGACTGTTCCGACCCTGTTTTTAACGGCGTTCGCGTATTTTAGGTATTTTGAGACCTAAGTATGAGGACGTTTTATTTTCTAGAGTGGGGTGGGGGGTATTTTGGTAGTGGCCTTTAAGCTGTAACGGGTTTTTAGTCTCATGTCGCAAGTGAACCGATTTGGCTCCCACCGTTCGAGGTAGAAAAACTCAAAAGATAGTGTCCCTGACTCTTGAGCCAATGGTTATAGGGCCTATTTTTCCTTAACCTCATATGTGACTGAAGTAGGCGACTGTTACATTGTGTTTTTATGGCACTCCTGGGTGTTTTTACGACATCATGACTACGGCGTCGAACCCACTTGACACAGCTCCGGGCTACATGCCCATTCTAGAGTACCGGTGGTACGGTTCAGCGGGAACGTGTAAACCTTCCGGTTGTACCGTGTTAGCTTTTTAAGAAAACTCGAGAAAATTTCCTGGTACGCTCTCCGAACGATGCTTAGCTAACCGAGTAAGGGGGGGGGGGGTACTTAGGGGGACGAAAAAACGAGCAAAAGACAAAAAGCGAAACAAAAAACGAAAAAAGAATAGACAAAGGAACAAAAAACATTAAAAAAATGACAGTGAATTTGACACCAGATTAATTGGATCAAACCTTTATATTAATTAAATAGTATACCCATACTGTTTTTATAAGACCGATCGTTTCGATCAATTCAGCATTTTAATAAGGTGCCCGAGTGTGGGGCGTTGTTAAGG